TCCTGCTACGCAGGACATCTCGCGCACACACTCGCACAGCTCGTCGTGTGTGGATGCGTTGCCACTGGGGTGCCTGCACGAACGGGCTCTTTCCAAGGCGCATGCTCCGGATAGCTGCGTAGCGCGTAATGGTCATGCGATGACGACTGCCACCGGAAGCGATTACGCGGTCCGCTTATGTGCCGGAATTCCCGGCAAGGGTCTTTAAAAAAAAAGGAAAATAAAGAAGTTCCATAACTGCCGTCCCCCCCACCCCCCTGATGCGTGATTCTTTGCCTGCAGGAGCCATCGCAGCGTGGCACGGAATTGTATACGTAACCGTGATTTGCCCGTATACGTATATATTTTCGGCATGACTTGCCGATGACCCCATCTATACTTTTCCGTTGTTTTTATGGAAAGAAGATATACGACGGAGTTTCGGTTCGGAGCCAACAAGCGTATCTCGGCGTCATTCGAAGAGCACCGACCTCTGATGATCGTTTGCCGCAGAGACAATAGAAGGTTACACAGCCACATGAGAATCCGGTCAGCGACGTGCACGAAGCATTCGGCGCATAAGCCGTGACTGCAGTGCTTACAGACTGAAACGCGCCATCAAAATTATCGGTATAGCAACAGACTGGTATGCGCGATATCTCGTAACAACCGTGGCAGGTCGCTAATAATGTTACCGAGGAAGCCTAATGTTAGTTTCATGTGTTTCAATGTTTGAACGGTATGCGCGCGCCATTAGCATGACTTCGCACCTTGACATAAAAGATCCGGGTTTTGAAAAAAAGAAAACTGAAGCGCCGAGCAAGTTAGACGACTATTACCGTTGTGTGACAGAAACAAAAAAAAAGGGGGTAAACCTGCCCCGCCGCGGTGGTCTAGTGGCTAAGGTACTCGGCTGCTGACCCGCAGGTCGCGGGTTCGAATCCCGGCTGCGGCGGCTGCATTTCCGATGGAGGCGGAAATGTTGTAGGCCCGTGTGCTCAGATTTGGGTGCACGTTAAAGAACTCCAGGTGGTCGAAATTTCCGGGGCCCTCCACTACGGCGTCTCTCATAATCATATGGTGGTTTTGGGACGTTAAACCCCGCATATCAATCAATCAAGGGGGTAAACCGTCATTAGATGGTCAGTGCGCACTAATGCTCTCACGTATCGCACCCGTCGAAATACGTCTATTGGCGATCGAACCTCGCGAGTTCGCGGCCTCGCAGCTCATTCGTGCCGCAACACAGCCGCAGTATAGCAGCGTTAGCATGCCGAAATGGACGACCATATGCGCCTCTAATTAGGATCGTCCATATTACAGCTTCTCGGCTTTCTCCTTCTTGAGCAACGACCGTTGTAATTACCGTATACACTACGGGCTACCGCTTGCACAAGAACGGGCGCCGCGAAACGAGGTCTTCGACTTTCGCTCCAGCAGCTGTCACTTGTTTACCTACGAGAGCGCTACAGTAAGGGGGCTCGCCTATAAAAGCACGTGGGCGTGTATCGACACCGCAACGCGTTTTCGAGAACTTCGGCAGTTGGCGCAACGCGAGGGAGCTGTCGTGCGCGTGATTCGTCTTGCGTAAGGCTGCTGTGTGTGTGCATTCCTTAGGCAATGCGAGGGAGAGAGTGAGAGAGAGATCTGCATGTCGTACTTACGGGGGCGTACACTGTGTACAAGGCACTGCGCCGTGCTCCCGACCGGGTTGCAGAAATTAGGTGCCTTTTCTCATCTTCTAACCACTACCACCACACTGTGTACGCTTCGCCGCAATGCTCGTGCAAAATTGTTTTCTCGCCGAAACAGATCTTTTCAGCGAAGCTGTGTATGGCCTGGACGTCGTCATTTGTGGCGCTCCGTGAGTGCGGAGAAACTAAAATTAAGAAATAATGCTGGCATGCGCGCTACCACGAAGGGTCTCCCCGCTTGCACTACAGGCAGGCCCCTGGCGTTGTCAGTATATACAGCTAGGGAAGATGCCCGCCGCGGCATGAATTGCTGCACCTAACTTAATCCTTCAGGTTTCCTTATTATCCACTCAATTAACACCACTCGACGCAAAGTTTCAGGCTGGCATCTGTTAAAACGTGGTGATATAGAAATTAAAAGTTACGACAAAAAGCGCTTCGATTACATTCCAGCTCATCATAAACAGTAAGACCGCACGTTTCAGCATCACTTTTTATCCATCTGTATGGAGTGCATGGGCGGTGATTCCTCGCTTCATCTTCAGTGTCCCTTTAATAGCGATCATTGCGATTTGTGTACGTATGTACCCGCATCTACAAGAACTCTCTGGACCAGGTCGAGCTCCAATAGAGAGGTAATGTCTTCGTATAGCCTGTGCGCCCACTCTTGCATCGAAATAATGCGGTGAATACTTCTCCGCAACGCATTCGCTTAGTTCACCTGCATTTGATACTGCGTCGCGATGTTAGTTCTAGATTATTGGCCGATTATGAGCTTTAGAAACCTGTGCCCTCGCAAGAGACCTGACCGGAAGCGTGACCACATTTCGTTTTGAAAACACGCAGCGTCGTTCCGCTCCCGGTTGTCGGTGGCCCCGGTGTGTTGCGGTGAAGCCCTTTGCACGAATAACTTTACTTGCAGTGCGGCGAAGCCACTCTCCGGAACGAACGCGTGTATGTCGCGCGGTGAAGCGTGCTTTGTCAACGCACGAATGACCGACCGCCTGCGTGGAAAGTAATCGTGCACGCTTGGGAGCTCCTTTCGTCGGTGCTCGTAGATTGCAAATGTTGAGGCGACTTTAGGAACGAGACTAGAGGCAAGAGATGATAAGTGAAGTTTTCTCGTCTCTCTCTCTCTCTTTCTCGTCTCGAACTCGTCTATAAATAGCGCAATGTCAACTGGATAGGCGAGCTTTCAGCGTAAACGATGTGCGCTTCAAGCAGCATTGAAATCATCGTTAATATTGCTTGCGCGATCGAATGAACTGAAAACATGCATTCATACGGCAGTAAAATAAATAAAGAGCCTCATCAGGCACTATCACAGTAGTGGCAGCCGTAAGTTCGTTCGAGCTAGATTCTTAATACGTCACGGCCATCCGCAAAAGAAGGAAACTGTACGTTAATTGGTTACGCGGTCGACTCGATCGGCTTTGCGTGAAATGCTCTGAACTGGCTGTTTTACAACGTATCATACTCGCAGAATAAGGATTGGGGCATAAGCGCGCTGTTATCGTGTCACTTCACTGTTCTCACTTTTTCATTCTTTTCCTTCTCTCTTTTATTCGCGAGCACGCGCCTTATAACCTTTTCTCCGATATTTTGAGTGGCAGAGCGGCGCGCGGTGACCACACGTTGCGTCGAGTGTATGCCGGTACTTTCCTGGCGTACATTGGTTTGCGCTCGGGAAAGGGGGGTGCGGTGCAGAAGGAAAGGTTGTCCCCCCCCCCCCCCTAGTTTGTTAAGAGGGGGCGCCGAGTCTGCGTCATATTTTTACTCTTTTTACTCGGACGGAGATCCCTCGTCTTATGTGATTCTTGAAAGAGAAAAGAAGAGAAACTTGAGCCCCGTAACTGTCTGCATCACAGTGCGAAACCTCAACAGTAGCTCGCGAGGGATGGGGGTAAGGAGGGATTATAAGAATAGGATTAAAGGTATAGATATAGACAGAGGAGGAAGAAGAAAGCGTGGCGGAGGGACATCGACATACGGAAGTAAGGAGAAGATAGTAAATATGGACACGGTCGCAGGAGTCCGAGGACGGGGCACCACTCGGCGAGAGCTCTTGTCGGCGTCAGGAGATGGCGTAGGGTGAGCCAGTATGCCGGAGCTGCGCTGTCGTCGGAGATCGCGGGGTCACAATCGGTCGGCACGAAATTCAGTGAGCGAGTCATTGTTTGGTAGTTATGGACATGCAAGTTTTTCACGATAATGGCAGCCTATAGGAGCATCGGGCCGTTGCGTTCCAATAACTCTTTACTTCCGAACTTTTAGCCATGGAAAGCTGGAGACAGTTGTAAGTAGCTCGTCATCTTTCCAGTTTAATTTTTGCGCCGACTGCGGAACAATTGTTTTTTCTTTTGTCGAATCCGGCCAACAAGGGGAAATGGAGGAGTGGTCACTGCAACCAATCTTGGCCCATCCCTCCTCTTGCTCCGTGGCCCACCCTAATGTAGAAACCTGCGCACGCAGGCATGTCTTATTTATTAGCACACTGCACGCCGTGCGCTGCTGCGCACTAGCATATGTTGGCCAGTGTTAGCTAAATAATGGGTAGCTAATGGGGCGTTCTTGTACAGGTTGTGTCAGGGATTTTCCTGTTTATACTAATAATGAGCAAAGTAACGTTGCATCTTTCAGTTGTAATCAATTTGAAAGTTTGAGGCAGGTAGCTGCATTACTCACAATATTCAAAGACACAACTGATTTTCTCTACCAAGATTTGTTTTTAATACTGTACATTCTCCTGGTTCATGTCGTCTGAAGCCAGATATGCATGCATGTATTCATACAGTTAAGCCTGCTTTTAAGGAACCTCCTTTTAACAAATTATCCTGTATAACGAAGTTTTTCTATTCCCCGACGTTCATGGAAGCACGTGTATTTGCGACCTATATGTAACAAAGTAACAGCGGGAGACATCGTTGGCATAACGAATTTTCACCGCAGTCAATCTAGGGATATATTGGTTGTTTTTCTTTTTTTTCTTTCTTTCTTTATTTTTTTTCGCCGCTGCGGTGGTTTAGTGGTTAAGGTACTCGGCTGCTGACCCGCAGGTCGCGGGATCAAATCCCGGCTGCGGCGGCTGCATTTTCGATGGAGGCGGTAATGCTGTAGGACCATGTGCCCAGGTTTTGGTTGCACGTTAAAGAACCCCAGGTGGTCGAAATTTCCGGAGCCCTCCACTACGGCGTCTCTCATAATCATACGGTGGTTTTGGGGCGTTAAACGTATCAATCATATCTATCGACTGTTAGCCAATGTAAAATCAACCTTGTCTTCACGTCTTTTTTTCTCTTTCTTTCGTTGTTTTCAATTTGTTTCTAGCTGGTGGACGTGGACCCGTTCTGGGTGCCTTCGACCGAGGAAGAGTACGCGCACTTTGGGGAGAAGGCCGACACCGAGAACCGGGCTCGCAAGTACATGAACTCCGTGCGCAGGCGCAAGGGCCTGCCCGTCAGCGAGAAGGTGGTCGAGCACGCCGAGAAGCAGCGCACTCTGTCCAAGAAAAAGTAGGCGCAGCTGCGGCCCACTTGGCGGGCGACCGCCATTTAGAGACGGCGCGGCGCTGGCCAGAACGCTGTATAGGCACGTGCAGCTGACAGCTGCGAGAAGCGTCAGGAGGAAGTCGTAATTTTAAGTAAGAATTCCAACAACGAAAATAAAGTTGGCCCTGGACTGTTGAAAATAACGTGTGTTTTCAGGTCACATTGATTCTCGCCCGCCGCGATGGTCTATAGTCTTTGTGCTGCCCGACTGATGGCCCGAAGGTTGCGGGATCGAATTCTGGCCGCGGTGGCCGCATTTCAATGGGAGTGAAATGCTAGAGGCATGAGGCTTAAGTTTAGGCGCAAGTCAAATATAGATCACCAGATAGTCGAAATACAGCCGGATACCTTCACTACGGCGTCTCTTATAATCATGTGATGCTTTTTGTTGTGCAAAACCCCAACAACAATTATTATAGTATTGCCTTAGTTTTCGAAAGGAAGTGTGTTGGTCGAGCTTCGCTTGTGAAAACTATCGTAAATTGTTTTACTCGTTGAAGCGGCCGTGCGTACTTCATGGGCGTGGCGTACTGCTTAAATATCGAGTAACGCCAAATATATGTGGTTCTTATATATTCAAAACAGGAACAACAGCCCTCATTTCCCATTGCAGTTGCCCCCTTTCTTGCTGCGATGGTTTTGTGATTAGAGAGCGCCGCCGCCTGCCTCGGCTTCTTCCGCTCAACAGTTGACAGATGTGTCTCTCATAATCAAATGGTGGTTTTGGGACGTTAAACCCAGCATATCAATCAATCAATCAACAGTTGACAGACAACACGCACGTAACGGGTCGGCGAGGTACCGCTACATATGCGTACATAGGCGTGCGTAGGGTTCCTATTCAAACGGGGGTAGCTTCGTCGCAGCGCCTTCTATGCTATTATGTCAAAGTATAGACTTTGCGCCGCCCCCCCCCCCCTAAATACTGGGGGGACGGCCGCCCCACCCGTGCGCACGCCTCGGATGCTCCACGAAACCACGCAACGAAAAAAAAAACCGGTAAAACAAGCTAACCTTACTACACGGCAATTTTCGCATTTTTATCGTTACATTGAATGACGCCTAATGGGGCGCTGGTAGCGACATGTGGCGACGATTCCTAGAATCACAATTATCGACCGGTTAACCATAACTCTAGACGCTCATATTCACGCCCCTATAGCACTGGCGTACCGCCCAAGCCCTTACTTTTGGTTTGCGGACGTACTAAAGCTCTCCCGTAAGAAATATGCGCCTTCATTATTGCTTTGGTGCAAATTACATGTACACTCGACGAGGATTTGCCGTCGCCGTCATGTTCCATATAAACTCCAAATCGACAACACCCCCCGCGCATGGCATGTTTACCCGCGAATAAAAGCGCGCGAGCTGGGACTACGAACGTGGCTGAAGCAGATGCGAAACGAGCCGATCCGTCTCCGTCGCATGGAAGGCATGCTCGATAACATCAGATGATTTTAATTTGTCCGGTAATAAAGTTGTTTACAGGGGCCCCTGCAACACTTTGTGAGCATGGTCAGAAAGCAGCTTTCGATCGGTAGTAGAGGCTCCCGACAACACGCGAGCGAAATATTGTAGTGCAGCACGCTGCCTGGAATTCACGATAAATTATCAGTCAGCCAAAACTTGCTTTCTCTTCTCTCGACAACTGCACGGAATAAGCTAAAGCATCACTCGTAGTAAGCCCATCTATCAGCCATTGGCTGATTTGAACACTGGCGCGCTCGGTCGTTACAGAGATTGCCGCCGGGAGGCCGCGACTTGTCCACGCGTGTGCGCACGATCACACGGAAAAATCCGCGCATTCGAAGGAAAAAAAAAGAATAGTGCTCAAGGTTACGAAGCGCGCGTGACGTTTTTCTTTGCGCCTGCCATCCCTCCCTGCTTAGCTTCCAGCGCTTTCGTCGGGATGAGAGAAGAGAGAATGCAATCGCAGCATGTGACGAATCTTTGTAACTCCACTCGCACTGGACGGACTTTTAAACATTTTTCGCCATTTAATTCGTGAGGCAATAAGCTCTTCGGGAAAAGTTCATTCCATAGTTACTTGAAAAAGTGTTTCATAGCCTCTTTAAGAACAATAAAGTTGTTTACTACTACTGCTGCTAGTCTGTCCGGCACTGCGGTACGCCTTTGCGTATACTGGGATGCCGGAGAGCGTCACGCCGGATACCGCTGTATCTAACTTTCAGCACGGACCGCCCAAAATACGCCAAGGCAGTGGCCGCAACATCTGCGTATGCGCTAAGTGGAAAGTCCTAGCAGAGAGGAAACGCCTGCCCATCTTGTCTTGAAGGGGCATGAAAGAACGCTGGTAAGTGGGTGGGGGGGGGGGGGGAGGGGTCGCTCGAGCAACTGTCACCCCTGTTAATCACAAGGTCGCGATTGCTGGCGCGTGCGTTATCTCGGCGGGCATCAACAAGACAGCCGCAGTGGTGTACCAACTCTTTGGCCAGTGGGGGGGGGGGGGGGCAAACCTACTTTACTATATTAGAACCTACAAGGAAAGTCATCACAGCGGCAATATTGGCAAAGTTTTACTATGTTGTAAACATAGCCTCGTAACAATTTCATTCTCCCGTAAGAACATAATTGAGTGATTACTGTTGTGATGGAAAACTACGCCTTACATGTTGGTTTCCCCAGCGTGCAGCCAAGAGTAACCGCCGTCGAAAGTGTAGGGGGGGGGGGGGGGGCTCAGCACCTCCAACTTCTCCCAGTGGCGGAAGTGGCGCCTTCCTTGCCCCCCCCCCCCCCCCCCCGGCTAATACGCCTATGCATAGCCGTGCTGTGTTGTCAACGTGAAGACACTGTGCGAGAACTGCAGCTCTCTCTTGAACGGCCGCATTCTCTTACACCAGCGTTTCGTACATTCACACGAGATTAGATCCAGAAGGGTTTGGTGTCACCCTTATTTCGTATAACACACCAATTTGTTCTTACCGCATTCATTGTATCGCTCTTGTGGTGAAGCTGCGATTTTTTTTTCAGTGATATTCTCAATTTGTTTTTTTTTTTACTTTTTTTGTCCGGACTAGCTTCTTTGTGTGAACATTTCCACCTTTATCCACTATCGGCACTTGATAATAATAATAATTATAATAATTATTTCTTGGATTTAACGACCCATAACCACCGTATGACCATGAGAGACGCCATCGGTATTTGAGCTCTAATAATTGTAAAATGTACACGGCGAACGCATTTTCGCAGAGGGAAAACTCAAGGAACGCCTTACCGAGCCTTTTTATTAGCGCTAAAATTTACCTTTTTTATTTTTCGTTTTTCTTGCACTTCATTACGATGTAGCGGGGAAAGAAAATCCCGTGGACACCACTTCAACTCCCGTATAGGACGCGTTTATTCAGCAAGCAGTTGCACCTCGCAGCAAAATTACCATCTTCGTTGCTTAGAAAATACGGGTACGCGCATCAGCTAACAAGTGAACAGAATAGCAGGCTTAACAGCTTACGTTTTTTATTGCTTGTGATTATAATACGACACGAAAAACAACCCTCTAGGCTTCACAGCCAGTCCTGTATGCGGCGCGCTCATTCACTAGGCATTTGTGTTGTGCAGGAAAGCTAACCTATTAGCGACTCAAGAAATACAGATTTTAGTTTCAGCTGGAAAGGGAGCTTAACGAAAGTATAAGTCGCTTTTTTTGTTCGTGCGCGCGCGTGTGTGTTTGTGTTTATGTGAGAGGATAATAGAAAGTGAAAAACGAACGGCTTGGGTTTCACTTATCAACATTTTGTATTCAGTGCGCTCACTCACCAGGCTACTTCACTGTACAAAAAAGCCAAACTGTCAGTGGCTCAGAAAACAAGGGCGCTCGCTTTAGTCAAGTAGTGAGTGCAGCGACATTTGGTGGTTCTCATGTCTCTCCTATTAGTGATCATGGTGAATAGCGAAATACGTACAGTATTCACGGATTCGAGCGCGACATCGTTAAATTTTCAATAATTGGATTATGCGCCACTGCTCGAAATAATCACGTCACGTCGCGACGAATCTGGTCTCTAAAGATAATGTGGGCCTTGGTGTACACGTTCGAGTCGAAATTACGACGACAACGAAAGTGTGTGTGTTACTCGGCATTAAATCGTCCTGTTTCAATCTGTGACCACTGAACACGCTTGTGCTCCACTCGACATAGTCTATGAGATGCGCTCATCCTCTAGGCAGCTATGGTGTGCAGAAAAGGTAACCTATCGGTGAATCGGCATACAGGGATGCGCGCATCGGCGAAGAAGCGAACACAATTATTCAAAATATTCTCTTTTTATGACGATGTTGGGAAACGAAGCACAAGCGCTTAGGCTCCATTGAAGTCATGCATACCAACATGTGGTGCGCTTATTAACCACTCAACCACTAGGCAACAGTGTTGTGCAGGAAAGCTGGTTAATTAGTGACCGATTAGTAGCACATATACGAACACTCGCGTCAGCTCAAAAGCGAGTGCAGTGACATTTCATATTCTCTCTTATTGTTGTGATGGCAATTATACGAACACTAAAGGTGCATTTTTTCATCGTCGTCATCAGGTTTCTCAGGATTGTTAACAGCAGTAGGTGCCATCGATATACTAAAGTGTTTGTACCAACGTTGCAGCACATCGACGCAAAAGACTTGCCGACATGCTGTGCTCAAAGGCAGCTTTGCAGCTGCTGTGCCAGTTGTCACGTGATCATAGAGGGCAGTGGCGAGCTTTGGCATGGGCGGAGCCTACGCATTGCGACATCACTACAAGCTCCTCAGTATGTCGACAGCGGCTACCTCTGTTTACAAACATAAAATGGGTCTATAAAGTCCAAGGACAAAAACTCCAGTGTTGCCGAAGCAACAGAGTAATGAGTCTACTACCTTTATTATGAAATTCATGGTCATGTCGACTCGTGACATCATTTAATATTTATATATCAGCCTTACTTAAAAATTTGCCAACAAGGTGCCACCTTGAATGTTGTAGTCATTGATGCATTTCAACC